ATTGCTTATTACTCTCAAATAGCCTGATGACTTCTGAACTTTGAGATTATAAAGCAAGCAAGTTCCTGAACACTCACAGGCAAGTCGATTGGCTAAGAAAAAGCAGCACAAAGTCCTGCCAAAATCCTAGCTAATCTGACAAAGGAAAAAAACAGGGAGGTCTAAGCCCCATAGTTTAAATAGAGCCAGTTCCAGCTGCACAAGGAAGCACATAACATTTAGCTTGGCACCTCTTCTCCAGGTATGACACCTGATGAGACAACATTTTACCACCTTAAAGGCACACTTAAAGGTACGTAAGTAAATTGTAAAATTCCCAAAATACAGGAAAAGATGGGGGTGACACATCAATTTCATATAGACCAATGAATGCTGCTTGTAATCCAACTGCAAAGAGGGAGAAACAAATGCACAAGATGCGTGACACGCAACCTGCTACCACTTAAGTACTACTATAATTCTTCCACTTCCAATGCACTTCACAAACAATTAATCCTCTTAACATCCAAGCAAGCATATTTATTAACCACAGTTTTAGCTTGTAAGCTCTTGAAGCAACAAGCTAGCTCTTTTTCTAGCTTAATACACTGCTCATGAAAACTGGGACCAAGGCCCTGCTTTAACTGTGAAAGAGCTACCAAGAAATCAGCTCCTACCACCCCGCTCCCTGCAGCAAAATGGACAAGAAAGACCCAGACAAGAACATGCTTTTAACCTAGATTAAGCGCACTGTTAACCTAGATAAGTGCTCAAACCTCAGCCTCCAGCCCTCTTCAGGCTACATTACCAACAGAATCAGCCAAAATTAATTCATTTCCAAAGTGGAAAAGTAGCTCCAAATTTTTGGAGCTCCCAAGCCTCCATTTGCACAGTGGATTCAAACTCCCATGCCCAAGTCAGCAGGACTCCACAGAGCCACCAACACAAATGCAGCCACACAGCAGGTCCCAACACAACCCTCAGCATCCTTCCACAACAGACAACGTCTATTCCTTTTCCTGTTGGCAGCCACACTACTTCATATAGAAAAACCTGCAGTTAACAGAAACATGTGCAGCAACATTTCGCTTGCATTGCATAGAAGTGTAAAGACTCACCTGAACCTTGTGAAATGAACATTCACTACCCAAACCTTCCTTTTACAACAACTCATATAAAAGGGATTTAGTCTTTATTTCTACTCTTTCTAAAGGGGTTTCTTCTTTATAACCTACCTTCTTCGCAGCTGCTAGAAGAGAAACTATAAACATTTAATGCAACAAAAGGTTTGCTCACCACCTCTTGTGTTCCACTGCCTCTTAGACTGTGATCACTCATCATAAAAATGGGTGGAGCGGCTGCAAACCACTCAGTGATGGAAAAACTGACTCCCATGTTCAAGATAAGCTGCTGCACAGGCTGGAAACCCCACTGAAACAAAGTGCTGTCATTCCTCCCCAGATGGGAAGTCTTTCAGCTACAGATGCAGACACATCTCCTGTAGCACATGAACCAGCCTGTTTTATCTCCACAATCATCCTCTGCACCAACTCAAAGACCTTCAGACCAAACTACAGAAACTGTTTTAAAACAAAACTGGAGACAAATGAGTTTACATGTGACCTAGATTAAAACAATTAGAACCAGCACTCCCAAAGTACAAAGTGCAGACTTTAAGATGTCCAGTGCTGCCTGTACCACAGCCTTGTTGCTGCAGTGAAAGATTTACAGTACCAGGGAACAAAACCACAGCAAAATTCATCACGTAGCATCAAAGGTACATCACGTAAGCCTCTCTTCTCAGCTGACTCACTAAGTGATACTAACTCAAAAATAAAGGGCACATCCCAGTTTTACTGCCATTTTACTTGTGAATTCGACAATTAGGAAGCGTGATATGCACTAGTGCATGTTCCAAAAGAAATTACTTTGTATAAGGGTCAAATCTGGCCATCCTGTCTCCCCTTCCCCCCAAAATACAAACCATTTCCCCCCCCTTTCTTTAACACCTGCTTCCTCCATCTGAGCGTTCATTGTCCCACAGCTATTGTGGGACCAAAGGCTTCAGCATCCCAGAGGAAACTCAGGAGGGAAACCAGTGTATAAAACAAGCAAGACATTCACTCCAGCAATCTTGTGCCTCAGCATCCCCTATTTTCCCCTCTCTTTCTGTTGACAGCAGGTTAAAAGATTGGGCTGGGTGTTGAGAGGCACATGTGCCAGGAAGACAGATGTGCCATACATCCTGGTATTGAAGCCCACTATGCTCACAGACACCAGTGTGATCCCCTTGGCTTGTTCTTGCACTAGAGGCCCACAACAAACACTATGGGGCAGGAAATGAGGCTGGATGGACTATGGCCTGACCCACAACAGTTCTTCATCTGGATGCACTTGAGGAAAGGATTTCACACAAGCAGCAGCTCTGTGCTACCCTAAAACATGGCAGGAGCAGAGAAAGCAGCATCTCTCCTGCAGCCCTGCAATAGGGACACAGCAGGAAGAGTCTTTGGACCAACACATCCTCAGCATTAGCTTCCATTAGGAGGTTGTTATCTCCTGCAGGTTGCTGTGCAATTCACACACACACCTCCAATCTTCCCTATGCTGAGAATAGGGATACCTGCAAGAACATGATGAGTCAGCCAGCATCCATGCATGACACATGCCAGGTGTGCTAATCCATGGAAAAGAAAGGGTGAGTCAGTAGTTTGAGTCTGAAGACAGCCCTGTTTAGAACAGCTGCTCCGTGCCAAAATCCTTGTTTGTAATGGTTTTAGTAACTGCAGCATTCAGACTTGCAGAACAGCTACACCACTGGGGCAGAGACACATTGGGAAAGAGATTTACTTTCCCAAGTAACTTTGCCAGAAACCTCAGATACAATTTAGATGAAGCTACCAAGTACGTCACAGATTTTAGCATAACTTACTGCTCCAATCTGCATTAGTCATGGGTGATAAAAAGCACAGGGGATTCAAACATGACACATCGGGTAGATTCTCTCGACACAAAGTTGTGGAGATCATCACCAAATTACATACACCCTTCTGCTTTCAAATGACCACCTTACATCATGCTCATGGAGGATGAGTCTCACCAAAATTCAGCCTCACAATTTGAGTAATCCATTAGTTATTTTCCCTCCCCCTCAGGAATAAAACCTGAAGTAGCTGCTACAGAAGAAAATCCTTAAATCCTTCCTTTTACACTGGATCAAGCTAATCTCAGCAGTGCTGTCACACTGTGCGTAACATCTGACATCGAACAACAGTTAGGGGATCTCTCACCAGGTATTCTGCAAATGCAACATCAACTTAAAAACAGCTCAGCAAGAAGACTAAATGCAATGACTTCTCTGGAAGGCAGACTAACCTGAATGAAGGCAAAATAATACACCAACAGTGTGTTGGTGTCAGAAGCTATTCTGGCAAATGCTAAACATCTTGCATAGTCTATTAGGAAATTAAACAAGTGGTTGAAATCGAGATGCTATGGATCAGTTGCACATACCTCCACTCACACTTTTAAAACAGTGTCTCAGAAGAGCAACTACGTGGGATCCAACTCACCAATATGACCCATTAGTCAATACAATATCCCACAATTGCCAAGGAAATCAAAAAGTGGCCTTGTGCAAGGATCAAACATAAAACAAAACTGTGACAGTTCAGTTGCCACATCTACTGATTAAGAAATTATCAATGGTTTTGGAAAGACAAAAGCAGCCAGATGGGAAAAGCAATGATTTTTGGAATCACCAAAAACAAGTGAATTAAGAGATTGGGTCATTTTGAAGCAATATTAAAAGCTAATTCCTGGTTCTTGAGAAGGGGAAAGAGATTCAAGAAAATACAAGAGGTCAAGGAGGATTAACTCTACCAAATGAACCCCTGCGACAGAATTACAACCTAACCTATGAAGAAGCACCACTGTGGATGCTACAGCCAAGGCCAAAATCAAGGTCCTCTGATGAACTGTAGAGGCTGCCCAGGTGCACCAAACCCAGCCTCATACACAAAACATGTTTGGAATATACTGTGTATTTGAAGCCCTCAACACAAATGCTGTAGGAGGTGCTGACAACAGTTTGAGGGTTGTTTTTTCCTTACACTTACTCCAATCCCACATGCAATATCTGAGAAGTTCCCAGTGAACTTGGGTTGTGAGAACTACACAGCTATGCCAGGAAAGAATTTAGCTTTTATTCACCCATCACAAAAACCACCCAATAAACTCTTCAGCATCTGATTTTTAGGTGTTTTATTTTGTAATATATACAAAAGAGTCTCGCTAGACTGCCTGGCCATGTCACAACATGTGAGCCATTTCAGCTGCAACTGAATTAAAGCTTACTTTTTGCAAGATAGCACACTGCATACTTTTAAGGACTGTTGACTCCTTAAAAATATTTGTGATTACACTTTCTTCCTGTTCCTCAAGAACTTAGAAGCATACCTAAAATGGTTATAAATGAGATTATAATAATGGCAAGGCAGAATTTTGCAGAGAATTTCTTTACTCTAGATAGAGGTAATTGCAGTCTTAGAGAACTTAAAAAGGAAATATTTTGACTTCTAACTCACTGGCTTATCTTAGAAAGAAATCTATCTCGCCTGCCACCTTCACATGCTATAAAACAGGGACAGGCACCACAGTCAAATGCCTTCTTTGCAATCAGAAAAGGGTGTAGCTCCAGGAGCATTTCTCCTGGTAGAAGCACTGGAGCCTTTGCCACAGCAGCTGCTCATCACACCATGAGGGGACACAAGTCAGGGAACTGATCCACGTGAAGAATGAACTCTTTTGCTGAACTGACCAAAGGTATGAATTGTACAGGAAGAAAAACCATAAATTCTTAACTAGAATCCATCTCCCAGCCTGGTTCACCAAACAGACCCACAAACCCCAGAATGGCCCAGCTGGTGAACTGCAAGAGGCTGCTTACACCTACACCAATGCACAAAAAGAGAAGACGAAATTACAGTTCGAGTTTAGGATAACACTGAAAAAAGTTTTACCTATTGCATGCTTCCACTAGCGGTCTCTGGAAGGACATTAAACTGTTTATGGGATTTGTGGCGTCACAGTGTATTTGTCATGTAGACATCAACAGAGGAGCCACCCTGTTCCCGTGACAAAGGGCCATAAAACCCAGAGATATATCTTTTTGAAAAAGATCTGTATAGCTTGACAGCAGCACCAAGTTCCCATTCCCTGCTGTAGCTGCTTTCCCTGGAGCACTTCCATCATATTTGCTTATCACTAACCAAAGTAACTAACCAGCTAACTCACAGTGATGTGCTTTGCCTTCTAGATCTCCATAAAGAAAGGTCATTTGCAAGGGAGAAAGGCAGGTTTTATAAATAAAGAAATAAAATGACAAATTATGCCACATCTACAGCTTTTTTTTTCCTAAAAGTAACTAAGTGCAATGCCAGGCTGCAACACCACGGCTGAAGTGTTTAACTACTCAGTAAGTACAAGGAGTGGCCCGATTCCCTCCCTACAGCAAGATTGTTGACAGCTGTTTTAATGGAGAAAAGTGAAGCATGACTAAGCTGTTCATAAAAATCCCATTGTACCCAACACCCAAACAAGTTTTGATTTAGAAAAAGTGCAGCGCTTCCTGAAGTGACTCTTCAGGTGGCAAGTGCCAGCCCTGAACCAAGCTCCCAACTGGATTATATCCCCCACAGCAAAACCCACAGCAGCAAAGCAGAGCTCTATCTACACCCAAAGCTATCAGTTGCTTCAGAAAGTCACTTATTACCTTTATCTATCCTACAGGTGATCAATGCAAGCAAGAAACACATGAGCACTTGGCACCAAGCAGCACCCATAATCACAAGCTGCAGGCTGTGAGATGCTTCCCACCCCATGCACCTGTAAATAGGATGCTGCTTACATTAACCTCCAAGTGGAAACCACACAAGCTGCCAACTCCCTGTCCAGAAGGCTGGTAAAACACAGGCCACGATTATTCATGAGGGTATATCATGCCTTTATGGCCACCTGAACTATCCAGCCTTTTGCTCAAATCTAACATCTTATTCCTGCCTTCCACCGGTAGAAGAAGAAACCAAAACTGAACAGGTCCTCCATACTAATCAGCTATGTGGTTTAGTTTACTTCAGGCTATTTATCACCTGTGTGGGGAACCCCTATAGAAATAACATTTAAGAGCACTCAAGCAGATTACAGAGATAACCAGGTACAGGTAAGTAGAAAAGTTTCCAAGCTGCTTCAAGGACTTCAAGGATCACCACCAAACACCAGGTAGAGAAAACAAAGACACTGGTGTCCTGGAAACAGCGTGGAAAAGAAATGACAACTTCTACTAATTATTTTTTTACATAGTTATCTATTAAAACTTACTATGCCAGCAGAAAATTATATGGAAGCACCCACTGCCTTTGTAACACAGGAGCATGTGCGTAGCACCAATAAACCTACTAGTGTTTTTTTTTTTTCTCTAGTATAATTTATTGACCACTGCCTTAATTCATGCTTTGGATGGAATAACCAGATTCCTTTAGCAGTACTTAATCCTCCTCTTTACACAGGAGCATACCCTAGACCAGAACACAGTTTACTCAGGAGTATATCCTGCTGAGAGATTAGTAGCAAGTTCTGCATTAGCCTAAGTCTCCAAGCTTCCCTATGGACTGTGTTTAAAAACATCCATCATCGGACAGTACCTGGCAGAGCTCTGTTTCCATGAGAAGCTTTGACTTCTTAACTGCGTTTTCCTCCTTTGATGCTGTGAGGCTGTAAATCAGGAACCTCGAGCTCCTGCCTTTCTGGCTGCAGTCCCTGGCTGGACTCTGTTCCTTCCAACATGTTGTATCCTCACCTCTCAGGCTATGTCGGCCACTGGAGCCAGGCAGGAGATGCAGGCTGGAAAGCTGCCACAGAACACGGCACATCCACACTACCTGCGGGAGACTCGTCATTCAGGCTACCTACAAAACCTGTCAGCCTTGCAGAACCCCATATCCATGCCCTTCTAGCAACAGCCCCAGGCCAGCCTGTCTGCCCAGCACTGGCCAGTGCTGGAAGGACAGACAGGGGACATATTAGGCTCAACCCACGAACACAGAAGACAGGTATATGCTTGAACTCATGCCAAGGGACAACACATGCCCAGATGATCCTCACCTTGCCTAATTCACCCTTACTCTGCTACCAGGCTTGTAAAAAACCAACCCCAAGTGTCCAAGCAAGATATTGTCACCACAGAAGGTAACAACCTGGACCAGGGTGGCCCAAACCACAGCAAACACCTCCTGAGTAAACACTCCTCTAGTACAGGCAGAAAGCTTCTATCCACAAGCATGGATGTTATGAGGTTAATGTCAACCTACTCCCACTACTGAGGTATCCATGTATAAAAATACACCTCCTCTAACACAGTAATAAATGAATCATTAGTGCCTTACCTTTAAGGAACTATGTGGAACTTGGTTCACCTTTGCAATTCCACAATAGCTTGGCAAGGGCATGCAGAACATGAAAAACACACCCGGCAAGGGGCTGATTTTAAGGCGCAGAGTCACCAAGAACAGAAATAATGTAGCTTGGCCCTTTAAAACTGATTAGATTACATTAGCCAAACTCCCAGCACACAAGACACTCATGGATCTCAGACCAACTGTCTAAACTCAGCTCTGACGCTACATGCTTTACATATTTTCTACTGCATCTCATATCTCCATGAGTACCTAAAGTTTTAGGGCTGACCAAGATTAGAGCGACCAACTGCCCTGCAGAAGTACAGCATTTCTAATCCCTTTATCGAGTCCCTATCTGGTCATCTGCAACAGAATCAGTACAGCACGTTCTTCAACAACAATAGAAAACAACTGCTAAAAAACACTTTTTTTCCACTCCTGAGCTCCAGTTAATGTGGAGCCCCATGAAGGACACTGGAGCAGGACCCATTACAGAGGTCAACAAAATGGATCTCTACGAATCCCAACTCCCTTATATGACTTGCAGGGATAACAAACACAGAAAGTGCATTAATAAACTCCTGACAATTTACAGGTTAAGAAACAACCACCCTTTAGCAATCCTCCTCCAGGAACTCCTGCATTCTCTTCAAAAGAAGAGTGTCTCCACTCGTAAAGAAAAGCATTATATTTTCAAACAACAGAGTGAACGCACAAAACGGGCCCCATGGCAATGACCCCCCGAGTAACCTCAAAGCCCCACTTAGCCCCAACGGTGAGAAAAGCCAACCCCAGGCTGTCGCTCTGGAGACTGATAGAAACGCCAGATTAACTGCAATAAACTTCGATAAAAGTTGCATCAGCGCCGCTGGAGGGATTTTGGGGGTGCGGGTATCAGTAACCCCAACAGCGAGGAAGCGGAGGGGGACGCTGGGGCCGGGTTTTGGGGTACTGGGGGTACCCGGGCACACACTCCGGGCACGCTCCGAGCCCGCTCCCCCGGGAATAGGGACGTTCCCCTGGGGGGACCCCGCCCGGCCCCGGCCCGCCGCGCACCGCCGGCCCGCAGACAATAGCGGCGGGGAGCATCCGCGAAAGGAAACGCACGGCATAAATTAACACCAAATAATAACGATAAAGAGAAAGGGGGAAAAGCAAAGAGGGGCCCGGAGCGGCTCCACGCGAAGTTGCGCGGAGAAAAGGAGAAAGAAACGAGGAAGAGGAGCAGGAGGAAGGGCGGGGGAAGCGTGCGAGGGCGCGGGAAGGGGACCCCCCAACCTTCGGGGACAGCCCACCCATCCTCCATGGGCCTCCCAAACTTCCCCCTCTAACCCCTCTTCGCTTAACTCCGGCGGGGCACACTCACCGCGGGGGCCCGGCGGGCGGCTTCGCCCCTGGCAGCGGGGCGGAGAGGGAAGGGGACGGGGAGGGCGAAGGAGGCGGCCGGGCCAGGCGCTCTCCGCCCGGGGAGGCGGGCAGGAGGCAGGGCCGGGGGCTGCGGGCTCGCAACCTGAGCCGAGCCGTGGGGCCCGCCCCCGCCATTGCCCGCATGCGCGGAGCGGGGAGCCCCGGGGCCGGGTGGGGGTGAGAAGCGGCGGGTGGTACCGAGCGGAGCCCGGTCGTGGGGAAGGTTCGGGTGCGCTTCAGCCGTGCCCCGGTGGGGAGGAGGGTGAGGGCGGGCCGGGGGAAGGCCGGAGTCCCGGTCCGGTGCTGCCTGGGCGGGTTCGGATTCCTCACCTGCGGGCCCGTCCCCTGGCCGGTTTGCTCAGCTAGGGGAGATGCAGCTGCTTAAATCATGGAATGGTTTGCGTTGGAAGGGACCTTAAAGCTCATCCAGCTCCAGCCCCTGCCACGGGCAGGGACACCTTCCACTAGAGCAGCTTGCTCCAAGCCCCTGTGTCCAACCTGGCCTCGAACACTGCCAGGGATGGGGCAGCCGCAGCTTCTCTGGGCACCCTGTGCCAGCGCCTCAGCACCCTCACAGGGAAGAGCTTCCTTGTATCTAGCCTACTTGTTTATAATCTTGTGCCACTGATGCGAAAGGACACAGGCAACTTCTTATGCAGCGGGTTTATGTTTATTGAAGGGAGATCCTTCTTGGAGGCTTGTTTTGCTGGGGTTGTGTTTGTTCCAGCAGTCACAAAGCATAAGCTGTCCAGCCCTGAACGTGCTGCGCATCCACACATACCGATCACAAAAACTGGCAGGTCAACTTGAGCCCCACCAGGCCAGCCCACAGCCTCGTCCTGCTCCTCACCGTCTTCCCCTGGTTCCTCTATGGTTGTGGGAAGCGTGTGTGTTTGATCGAGGAACATCTGCCGTTCCATTCCCACGCCTTGCCCCAGAAAAGCAGTGGAAATGGCAACCCACCATTAGCAAACGAGTTCATGTGGCCTGTGGTCTGCGTGTGGTTGGGTTTGAGGAGGCCCCTGGGAATGAAGATGCATGATCTGTTGCGGTGAGTTGCCTTCAGTTACCATTTCTGTTGGAAGCTCTTTGGAAATGCATGTATGTGGTGGCCTGACCTTTCCAGTTGACTTAACCTACTGCACATGTGTGTACCTCGCTAGCCCTGGCAGTGGCTAGGTGATCACGTCCTTAAAGACAGTAACAACACTGACTTTAACGTGTGTCCTGCCCTGCTAGGGCTGGGCAGCCTCACCCCATGACAACCAACCCTAAAACCACAATATCTCCCAAAGAGACCTTGCTGCTGGCCAGAGCACTGGGCAAAGGCTGCAGGTAATTACTATACATCACGTTCACTCTAGGTCGAATAAATAACAATGCTGTATACAGTGCAGGAGGTTTTCTGCTAAAGAGCCGTGTGTATGAACTTGGCATTGTCTTTCATAATATGCACTGTTGTTTCAGTTTAAATCAACTGAAATGATAGAAATGGTTTCAACACTGCTGTAGTGTGGTCGTTTTGGAAGCTGAAAGTTCCAGCGTTGTACACCCTTTTCACCCAGGATGTAAACAATAGTTTTTTCTTATGTGGCTCCAACAGGGTAAGGCACATAAGAGCAGGGACACTGGAAATACATTTTTATTTGCCTCCCAACCCTGCAAGAAGGGGTTATGGAGCAGATAGACCACTTGGAAGTTCCCAGGTTCAAGAAGAGGGGTCAGGCACGGTGATGGCTCAGGAAAGAGCACCATCTAGTGAAAACTGGCTTCTTACACAGGCTCTTTCCCCTAGAAGCCTCCGACTAAACAATGACTAACCCAGCCCACCCCAAACTGCCTCCACGGAGCTGAAGCAACCCTGAGCGAGGTAGCGTGGTAACAGATACCTAAAGTTTTCCATAACATGCACACACCGGGATCTTTAGCTCTGCCCCCTTGGTTGTCCATCAAAGGAACACCTCTGCTTGTGAACTCCAACCTGACAAGTCAACTTCTGTCTTCTGCTCCCTGGAGCTGACATAGCCTGGTTTTGCTCTAGGAGCTCCCCAGTCACACCGTGGGGTTCATAAGGCCCCGAAAAGAGGGCTCAACCTGCCTGTGTATGTGTATGTGACCATGCATATGGGCTAATACGTGCCACTCTTAGTTTGGAAATAGCTCTGGGGAGTCTTCAGCACAAGTTTAGATCTGAGACCAGGTCTCCCTTGCATGTGGGAGCAAGGACCAGAAAGCATCTGCCACAAAAAGGCTGTATCAACCCCTTCAGCTGCCCAGCCCCTGCCCCCAGCAACACTTAATATATCGGTTTACATTTCCCTTCCCCAAGATGTACTGTATGCTCTATTTTTGTCTCTAAATTGTTATCCACCCCCAAATTCTTTATCTGAGAATACGCCATCTGCACCCACATATCACTACAAACCAAAACAGAGAGGCAGTAGATAAAGGGAAATTTGTGCAGCAGCTTTGTGGATGCCTCCTGACAAATCATTTGCCTTCAAATCATCTCTGGCAGTGGTTCTTCTGCGTTTCACCATTTGCCATAGGTCCAGGTCTGCTTTTCAAACACTATAAAAACACAATAAAATATATCAGTGTTATAACCAGAACAATCAGGTGTTCATTCATGGCCTCTTTCAGCTTTTAATTTGTCACAAGCTTTGCTGCAGAGCTTCTGACTTCTTACTAGTGAACTGGATTTAAGTGGGAGTTGCATTAGTGAGTGAGACTGGAATCTGGGTCTGCACAGCGTAATCTGAACATTGTGTGTAGTGGTATGAATTAGCAATATGAGCACATTGTTCCCACTTATGGAAATTAGCTGTCCTTGCAACTGAATAGAAAACACAGTGCGATGTAATGATGGAAGCACCAACTGCTAAAGATTTGTTTTCATCATGTTTAAGCAGCTACAGAATGGAGACACTGAGCATTAATGTGGCTGACAACAGTGTGTGGTGTTTTCTTTGTGTTCCTGCTTGTTTGAAGCCAGTGCCTGGTAGCTGAGGTAGCATCAGCTACATCTGAAGAGATTTTAATACCATTTTCCTTCTCTAAACTCTATCAATGTCATTTCTCAGTCCTGTGAGAGGTACAGTCTTTGCTGAAAAATCATGGACTGTGGCTGAGAGCAGCCTTCAGGAGAAGCTTCCCCATTCCCTTGGGCAATGTATCTCAGCTACAGTGTAAAAGTTCTTAGTGTGTCACAGTCACCAGATGTTAGAGTGTGGCCTTAGGACAGGAGATAGCCTGGAATGAGTGAACTGCAATAAAACCCACCCAAACCAAAACACGAACCATTATGGCCTGCAATATTAAATTAGAGAAAGTTCTGTGGGTTCCTCTTCCAATTCTCCATAGAAAGTCTGTGGAGCTTTGGTGGGAGCAGAAAGGGTGCAGCCTTGCACCTAGCTGTCACCCACCGCATATCTCACTGCTCATCACTGCTCTTCCTGATTATTTCTCAATGCTGGGAAGCCGTGCTTATCAGTTGCTCATGCAGATGTCATTTTTGTTGGCTGTTCAATCGGTGGGGCACATCTAGCAGGTCCACCTCTGCAGTCAGTGGGGCCCCTCTGTGTGCTGATAAGCTGTGCTAACACCAAGCTCTCAGAACTTGCCCTTATCATTGGAAGCACTGATATAAATACTGCCTTTTTCTTCTGCTAAAAAAAAAAAGCCAGTTATTAATGTTTAAAGGACCTGAAAACAGACAAGGGAACATCTCTGCTACAGCCCCAGCAGAACCCCATCTACATGCATCTGTGACAGGCACAAATAATGTCATTTTACATCGTATTTGCTTTAAATATTTTCAAAACCAAAGAAATCATCTGGTGAGCTACACGCTGTACTTTCACCTCCCTTTGTTAGGTCTATATCTCCAACTTCCAAGCAGTGAGCCCAGAAACAAGAAGTAAAAGCCACCGAAGAACAAGAAGAGCTCCACAATCGGTTTTGCTGTCCCATAGGGGTAAGGCATGTACAGGTGTGTTACAAAGAAGGTGACATTTCATCCCTTTCACCCTCCTCCTGCTGAGGCTAAAAAATACTAGTAGCTATAACAGTAAATAACTCACACAGACTCTTAGTGCCTTCCCCAGAGCTCTGGAGGTCTGGCAGTGTTTCCTTGTCCCAGCAGAGAGACTTGAGCCATGTCTGTGGCTTGCAGTGTAGGATAGGTGCTAGGTAGAGCAGAAACGGTGGGATGAAAGATGAAAGGAGGCTTGCAGGCTGCAAACACTGTTATCATTAAGCCTCCTGGGATGGTTTTCTCTTGCAATTCAGCTTTATACTTCATGTTTTGTCAAAGGACACTGTTAACAGGCATCTGCTCTGGCCATCCTGTTCTTTTCAACATACCTTTTAATTTAATCCTATTCTATTTCTAACCCAACAGCAAGGGTTGTTGTCCAGTTACGTGCAAAGCGAGGGATAGGCAAATCAATGCCAAAAGGCTTCATTGAAGTATCAGAAAACATTCATCAAATCAACTTACAAAACTGAATTATGTGGGACCCCAGGAGTAAAAAATGACAAACACAGAGAGTTAAATTGATAGCAGACCAGGATAAAAGCTTTTAGTCAATGCATGCTATAAAATTAATCAAATGCAGTATACTCCCTAAAAATTAGAGCAGTTTCCTCATCCCCTGCACTCTACTCAATTTCAGATCTGAATAACATACAAAGTAGATTAAAATTAATCAATGCAACAGATCCCACAGCAAAGAAACTAATCAAGAAAGCAGCACATGCATTTGCAACCATTTATTTATTGCCATCACCACGTGTGGCCAGGATGTGAACACATATGACATCCCTGGCTTCTCTTAAACCGATGCCAGAGCTGATGGGTGTATTTGGGTTAATTGTGTGAGGCAGTAAGAGAAACTGTCAGCTTTTAGGTCACTTGGAAATATTTACTTGAATTTTGCAAATATTGTGAAGGGTGAAACAGGACAAAATTGTGTATATATTTATATATAGTGTGGATGTGCAACAGTAGCTTTTACTCTGTGCAGGACATGATTGCTCCATCTCTGACTTCAACTATTCAGCTTTTCTCTGTAGGTGTATATGGACTGGATGAGACCTTTCAAGCTATGGAATGTCAGAGAGGAGAGTTCTCCAGGTGTTGGGAACCAATAGCCCATAGGTGATGGCAAA